ACTACCTCGCGAGTCTTTCTCTTAATGGTAATTTGGGGAGGGGGGCTCACATTCATGGCCCAGGGCAGGTTGATAGAGCAATTTAGTCTTCTTGATGTTGAGAGAGAAGCCCAAAGTTAAATGAGCTTCTCCATAAAGATCCAGGGAAGTCTGGGGGTTTTCCTTAGTGTACGCAAGGATGGTACAGTCATCAGCATATTGAAGGTCAAGAATGGTTGTTTTGAATATTTTCATCCTCAAGTGAAAACATCACAGTTGAAAAAGCCCTCTATACATTCAGTATTATATATCAATTGCCAAGATGACTGTCAAAAATGGAGAACAGACTTGGGGCAATAACACATCCTTGCTTGACCCAAGTTTGGATGACAAATGGATCTGTCTCTAATCTACTACATAGAACAGTCTCATTCATCTGGTCATGAAGAAGCCTCAGGACTTTTCAGGACATCCAAATCTGGCTAGTACTTTCCATAAGGCTTCACAATTGATTGAATAAAAGGTCAATGAAGGCTGTATACAAGACCTGATGTAGTTCCCAACACCTTTCTTGAACCTGGTGGACAACAAAGATCATGTCAGTTGTCTCACTGGATGGTCCAAAAAACAAACTGAGGCTCTGAGATGACTTTCTCAGCAAGAGCTAGAAGATGGTTCAAGAGGATGTGAGCAAGGATTTTACCTGCTGTGGAAAGGAGGATTATATCTTGATAGTTCCCACACATAGACATCTCCTTTCTTGAAGATATTCACAATGTTGGCATTTCTCAGGCCCTCAGGCATCTCTTTGTTGTTCTAACTTCATGGAATAAATTTGTGGAGTATCAGTACCAGTTTGTTACTGACACCCTTGTATATTTCAGCAGATATGCCATCTGATCTAGTGGCCTTTTTGTTTTTGGTTTCTTTGATGGCATTCTGGGATGGGAGGGTTGGAGAGGGATCCCCTTTCAGGATGCTGGGGGATGGACTTGGTGGTATCTACCACAGTGGACTCATGGTTTAGGAGTGACTCAAATTGATCTTTCTGTCCAGCTTGGTTAGATGCTTTGTCTTTGAGAAGTGTTGAGCCATCTTGCAATTGAAAGAAGGCATGATTGTGGAAAGTTGTGCCATAGATGGCTTTTGTTGCTTGAAAAAAAGCTACACATCATATTTGTCAGCATAGAGTTGGATATCCTTAGCTTTATCTTGCTTCCACTGAGCTTTGATTTCCTGGATCCTCCTTCAAGCTTCGGCTATGAGGATCTGATACCTCTGCTTCTTCTGCTGAGATAGCGTGTCAGCTTGCCAAGCAGAATGAGTTGTTCTGGTCAAGGAGGGTTTGGATCTTGGTGTCACTCTCACCGAACCAGTCTTGGCATTGATGGGTGGAATAGACTATGGATTCAGCACAGGCCACATAGATGAGAGTTTTAAATACCTTCTAGAGTTCCTCAATGTTGCCTTATTTGTGGACAGGGCAGAGAGCTTTCCATGGAGACACAGTTGGAGATCCTTACAGACCTCTGAGACTAAAAGAGATTCGGTATTGAGGATCTGTCAAGGGAGTAATGTGTTCTTCTGTTTGGGCAGCCTGTCTCCCTCTCATCTGCCATGCCTTGATGTATTGTTGAATTGGAAAAATACACAGTGGAAAACTGCCTTAGATATGTGGCCTTTATGTCGGCATCAACATACATGGCTCCACCTTTTCCTACACCGTGTCCATCCTCCCTCCCTACACCGTGTCCATCCTCACCCTCATATCTCAACAGCAGTTGGTTAACAGAGTCCTTTGTTAGGACCCATGATGATTACTTTCACCCTCCAAACTTAGGTGCCCCATTGAGGATGATTGCTAGTTCCTCAATCTTTTATTTGCTTATAATTATTCCAAAGCAAAAAACAGTAACTTAAAGAAAGGGATGAGTATGCCGTCATAAATTTCCCGCTTCCTGGAATTCTGTTCCAGGACAGGCTCTTGTGGACCCATCTGCAAAGTCCTGGGTCTCTCAGCTACAATCCCAACCATAAGAAATTAATAAAGTCCCGGGTCACACACAGCAGCTGGTAATGCCCCCAGTGCATAGTCTCTCTTTCTTCAGAAAAATCTTCCCAAGCTGTTAACCCTCACAGCATGGGTTCTGTCCCACCTCTGTAGCAACTGGAGGGTCCCCTTTACTTGAGGGTGACTGCAGTACTTGGATTACAGTCCTCCCCCAACAGGGGTCTTCGCCTCCTGAGTTCCGTCTCACCCCTTGGTTGGGGTTTCACTCTTCTACTTATGGTTCCCCTCTGAAACTGCCTCCTTGCTTTACTGTCTTTTCTCCTGAAGATCCTGTGAATTCAACACCATCATCTCCCCAAGGACTACTGGAACTGCTGTTGTAGTCTGGTGTTGCCTCCTGGAATTGCTGTCTGGCACTTGCTCACCAGCTCCTCGGTGCAGGCCCAGGTAAGTTTCTTGTTTTAAACTTCATATGCCTCTGACGTCATTTTCTCATGTCACTTCTAAAGAGGTCATGACATGTTTTTACTTGAGTCTTGCCATCAAATTGCTGGAGTTGGCTCATCTGCAGGATGAGTGCAGTAGGGATGGACTCTGACTCCTGGCTACAGAGTCCTTTGCATTGTTTTTGGCTATTTTTGGTGTTCTGGAGCAAACCAGATGTTCATAATGGACCTGAAAAGACAGTGATTTGTCCAGAAGATATCAGTTCCTCACATAGCTCATGCAATACTGACATCCATTCATTAATGGGATGTAACAATAACATAGTTGAGGAGGTGACAGTGCTTAAAGCGAGAGGGTGTCTCCATGAGTTCTTGTTTTTATTGCTCCATCTGAAGTTTGTATTCATGATGACAAAACCATGCTTTGTGCATTTGCTCAAGAGAAGGATGCTGTTGGGGTTGGCTTTTTACTCCTTTCTTCCCATTTGTGCCATTCTAGACTTCCAGGTCATGTCCAGCTCTAATACTGAAGTCACCTAGGAGAATGATTTTGTCTTACTTGAGAGCATTGGTCAGAACATGGTCAAAGTTATAGTAGAACTGTTCTTTGACATCACTGTCAGCATGAAACATTGGGGCATTCATGCTGCTGATGGTGGTGTACTGGTTGTTACTGAGCTTAAGACAAGGGTTATAAGATGTTTATTAATGCCCACAGGGCAGTAAGTTAACTCACGGGCTAATTCTTGATGCTATGAATGTGTCTGTCCCGGGCCAGTTTACCCTCCAAGGAGAAGGTATAGTCTCCACCTCTTCCCTCAGCTGACCCTCATCCAGTCATCTTGTCTCACTCAGAGCTGCACTGTTGATGTTGTATCTCATTAGTTCCTTCAAGACAATAGCAGTTCTTCTTTCTGGTAATTCATTGTCTTGGTTATCTATCAAGATGTAGATGTTCCATTGTTTTCTTATGATATTTTAGACCACAGAGTGATCCCAACTAGGAGCAGATAAGATAGCCTAAGTTTAGAGCACCTTTTCTAGCCTCTTCCTCATGTAGGATGAGAAGAGGGGATCCAGAATAGGACTGATCAGCCATGGTAACAACTCCCAAATTGCAACCCTGTCTCAACCCAAGTGCAAGATGATTGTCAGGCTTCTGCTGCCTGTGTGCAAATTCATGCTGGAGTCTACAAGATTCTCTAGTCCTGTCCCCATCACCACTAGTCCATCACCACAGGACTTTTGGAGGCTGGTACAGAAGAGCATGTTTTTTCCTGCGCTGGAAGCCTGCACATGACTTTATTTAACATGAAGAAGCTGGTGCACACACAGCAGACACACAGTCTTGACAAGGTGGAGATTTGGGCTCAGTGGCAAGGGAGAACCCTAGACAACAGGAGACCTTCATCTAGCTGCAGCCTTTTCCATCTTCAGAGCCATTAAGATCCTAACATCTTCTTCTGCCTGATATACTGTTGAGGACTTGGGATTGGACCATGATTTGTCTGGAATTTCCCCTCAAGCCTGTTTGTGATGGGCCAGCTTGCCAGGAATATGAGACTCTGGAAAACATAGCTTTGAGGATTGCTGGGACACACAAGCCTATCCATCACTACAAGGTCTCAGTCCATGGAGAGGTGAGCTAACTAGAGATCAGAGGGAGAGGCTACAAGTGGAGCCAGGAGGAGGCAGGCCCTGTGATTTCAGCACTTGAACAATACAATACTTGGATGTATCTGCATTGATAATTATATAGACAAGGTTCTTTGGGTAGATGTGATATATTTTATTAGACCAACTAAAAAGCTGGAAAAATTGTTCTTTGCAAGCTTTGGGGCACACATGCCCTTCTTCAGGCATAGGGAGAGTTTGTGTGCTCTCCTGGGTAGAACAGAAGCCAATATGTAAAATGCAGGTCTATGAAAATGCAAATGTGTGGCAGTCATGTTCAAAGGGAATGGGAGACAATAGGTATGAGAAGGTGATAATGATGTTAGTCTTTTCCACTTTGGATCCAATAAATACACTCCATGTTTTTCTGGGCGATCTTGTAGAATTATAGGAGACACTTACTTCCACAGTATGGACTGGATCACAAGTCATAGAGCATATATATTTTTGGATATATAGCCAGTAGATTTCTCTATAAAATGGTCACCAATCGGCAATGCTGTTTTAAATTTGATTTTAGTGACAAGCAAGGATCCTATGGAAAAAAATGTTCAGATAAAATAATCTTGATTTAAGTAATCATGATTCTGTTTAAGCTAATTTTCAGGACAGAAAAACTGGTTCTATAATTAGGGCACTGGACATCAAAAGGCTGAAATTTCAGAAACTAAGGGAATTAGTTAGAAAAGGTTAACTGGATTTTAGAGCTCAAAGTTTAAAGACAGAAGAGCTGTGGAATTATTTTAAGACAAAAGTGTAAGTACTTTTTGGTGTTTGTGAATTGAAGCAAAAGAAAAAACTTGGTAGGAAAAGACTATAGACCTACCCAGATGAACAAGGACCTTTACCAGGACATTAAGAAAAAGCAGAGGAGATACAAGATAAGGAAGAAAGAATTGATCAGGAAGAGATCTCTTTCAAAGGTCAGAACATGAAGAAATAAAGTGAGAATGCCCAAAGGCTTAGTTGACTTGGATCTTGCAAAGAAAATTAAAACAAACAGCAAAAGGTTCTTTTATGACATATATAAAGAGAAGTGAGGAAGAAGAATTGAGGGTTCCATGTTTACATGGAGCAAACATTTAATGAAAACTTTGCTTCATCTTCAGCGTAGGTGAAGATATAAATAAAGATAATAGTAAGTGCATTGAGTGGGGATGAAAAAGCTTGCTTCTCCTGGCAAAACTGAGGAAGCCCAAAATACTGAAAGAACAGGCATAAGATATAGAATAGATCCTCAATTCAGGCATAATTCCTTGACTAGAGAATATCAAATATAATGCCTACATTCAACAAAGAAAATAAAACCTAGTGACCCCAGCAATTACAGACCCATTTTACACAAATTTCCTATGAGCAAAGATCCTGGTTTTCTAGTTTAATAATTGCAAATTCTCTGATAAAAAATCCAAATTCTTTGATTAAAGAACACACACGGTGTGCTTTTCTGCAATGAAAATGAAACACCACTATATATATAGTGGTATATTTTAATGTTGGCTGAGTAAATAGGTTTTCCATGTATCTTATTCACCTGGTTGCCTTTATTTTTGATAACTTCCAGTTTACAGTCACCTTTTTTAACAGAAGTGACCAAAACCATACATAATATTCAACTGGGGCCTTGCCAATGTCACTGGTAGGCTTCCAAATTGCTTTAAAATTGTAAATATAGCAATAAAACCTTGGGGTAAATGTATACCTATATATATATTAGCTATATACGAGTGCTCCCAAAAGCAATTTGGAAGCCTACCAGTGGCATTACCAATGCCCCAGTTAGAATACCATGTACAGTTTTGGTTACTTCTGTTCAAAAAGGTGGCTTTAAACTGGAAGTTAAAAGAAAAAATAAAGGCAACTAGGTAAATAAGATAAATGGAAAACCTATTTTCTCAGCCAACATTAAAATATACCACCTTATTTATCTTAACAAACAAAGACTGAGGGAGAAATGATTATTTTTTTATATATACATATATGGGGTATCAAGAAGATATCAAGTAAGAAGAGCTCCAAAGGCAACAAACTGGCATGAACACATGAAGGTCATGAGAAAGTGTTCAGATGAACTGCTGGAATTTTTGTGGTTTTGTTTGTCTGGCAGACAACTTAAATGTTAGAGGGGCTGGGAAGGTGCCATGCAGCCTGCACTGCCAGCACTGCAGACAGCCTGCAGACAGCCTGCACTGCCATCACTGCAGACAGCCTGCACTGCAGACAGCCTGCACTGCCAACAGTGCACTGCCGGGGGGCGGGGGGGTGCGGGCTCTGCATGCATCCTAGAATATTCTGCAGGCTCCCATGGCTGCTGGAGAGTGCCAAGAGCACCAAAATGCACAGAGCATTGCTGATTACTTAGCCACCTCAGGAGACCATGCCCTCCCCAACTCCCCTGGGGAACTCCTACCCACAATCTCTCCTCCCTCCCTGGTGTAAGCTTTTGAGAGAGGAGACTGAGAGCCCATCTTCTTTCCTGACATGTTCAAATGAGAAAAAAAACAATTCAAGGCTTGAGGGGGAAGGCTTGGAAAGAGACTGCATGATCCTAGCCCCATTGGGCCCAAGCCAGCCCTGCCCTGCACTACTTCCACACATGAAACCTCACAGATGGCCTGAAGACAGCAGGGGCAGGAGTGACCCAGGGTCAAGCCAATTTGACTCAGCACCATAAGGGTGAGCACAGTTTGGGTAAGCAGAGTTCGGGTCTGCACAGTAATGGTCTGATGGTGAGTGGCTCTGGGGGTTGGCGGGTCTGAATCTGAATCTGGACCTGAGGATCTGGGGGCCCGGGTTTGGGTTTGGGTCCAGGTCAGGGTTTGGTCTTGGGTTTGAGATCTTCCTATGGCCACTAGGCACCTCTTCTCCACCATTGCACAGGGAGTCTGGAAGGGAGTGGGAGTCTGGGTGTGGGGCTTTGGGCCATGTGCAGGGGAGACAGATGCCTCAGCACCCTGAGTCTCTCTGCAGCCCTCAAAGTACAACTTGGGCCTTGTGAAAGGGGTTAGGGTTTCCTGGCCCTAAGGCAGTCAGGGGAAGGGTTTGCTTTATGTTCAGTTGGAGCAGTAAGGACTAGCCTAATAACAGACTGTCTCTCTGGAGGTGGGGGAGACCAAGGTATGCTGGGATGCTGGAAGATGTTGCTTTGGCTTCTATTGGAAGGTAAGTACATAAGTGTTTGTTCTTCTGGGAGAAACTGTCTCGAGAGCCCCTTCTACCAGGTTGTAATTGGGTTAATTTTCTCCTGAAACCACTATTATTGTTCTGGGAAAAACTGTGCACTGTGATTCTCCTGATAGAAACATAATGCTTGAATGCAGCCTTTGA